ACACCATTGATGATGGAACTCACAGTCACAGGAATCCACTGTCACAGAGTAGGAACGGGTAACAGTACCACGAGCACAACGAACTAAACAGTGCGGACCAACTACATCCACAGCTACGATACCTGCACTTCTCCAATGCTTCAGAAATTGTTTGCGAGCGAACGGAAGAATACGGGCCAACATAGGTGCCGCCATGCACATTTCCGGGGGTGGTATGTACGGGGACGCGATATGCCTCCCAAGAATCTGCTGTCTCTCCTGAATCAAGGTGTTTACACGATCAATCACCACCGTAAACAGAGTATGTAGCGATGACTGCTCCGTAAGCTGCCTCTTCAGGTGCTTGTTTTCGTTCTCAACACGGTTCGTTGTAGCGCAACCAAATAAGCATACATCCCGCAACCTGTGCGCAGCCCAGGACGACGTACATGACAGCCACGTCCGTTGTAAGTAACCATGGTATTCCGCATTCCTCACGCGGATTGCCCTCAGTACCTTGTCGAATTGCTCCACATCACGTGTATAGATCAATTTATGCAGCCAATGCCGCAGAACGCTTCTGTCCGCTGAACTCGTCTCCGATAGACGAGTAACCCGGCGTGACATCCCTCAACACGTGAAAACGGCAATACACCACCGACGCGTTCGGATAAGCCAACGTCATTGCCCGCACCTGCGCCATGCATTTATCCATCACGACAATACGTACCGATTCCGTGCACGGTAGCACCTCTTTCAATGCTTCCACAGCTTGCCGGTAGCTGCGGTACGTTTCATTGGGCAGTAACGCATAGAAAAACGAATACCCCACACCAGTTACATCCACCAGCATACAATGCCACAAAATATACCCCCCATAATTAACCTGGTGAGTCGCATCCGCCAATATCATCTCGCAGTATTGTGCCGCAATAGCCTCCATAACCGATGGTACGAAGAACAAAAATCTCACCACCTTGCCCTCCTTCACCACACGACAAACGCCGTGCCGCTCTAACAATTCCGTTACCTCCTCTACCTCTCCCGTCTTTCGCTTCCGGTGTCGCCTTCGAAGCAGCTTCACATCATCCGCGTTCAACGTCTGCCCATATGCCATGGATATGTACTTATGTATTTCCCTCCCACTTTTGAAAACGGACATCAGGGAATACACTTCCTTTTCCTGTGCCTCCGTCAACCGCCTGTTTTGTGGATACAGCCAGGGCTTGCCAACATGGAAAGCGTGACAATGACACAAGTCTGATTCCCCTCGTTCGTAAAACTCGCCCTTCAGCTTGAAAGAAAAATGCGCCTTGCAATACAACATCCTGTAACTATATAGCATTTGTTATACCATAAGAATATCAACTTACCGTTTCCCACGAACATTGCTACGCTTATCATGAACACAGCGATACTGAACGTATTGGTACGGGTAACCCTCAGGCAATCGCTTCCCCTTTTGCCTTTCATAATGCGCCCGTGTCAACCGCCGTATGCTTGTAAAACGTGGTGGCAGTTGCAAATTGTAAATTTCTCACATCGGAACTCCACCTCCTCAAATTTCCGATAATGTGTAGCAGCAGCAGACAGGAATCTCTACAGAATTCATCCACCATGATGACAATTACGAATGTGGCGCCAAGGGATTTCCAAATACTAATGCAGTCTGGCCAACAACGATTTATGACAATCACACTGACCTTTTTGCATACAAAAAAGTACCACAGCGTAACATGTGCAACCCCCATATATATATACAAAATTCCCATTATGCTTCTAGGCTTCCCGTTGGCCTTGCAGCGAGGAACTCACCAAAACGGTTTGTGACAACGGATGTGCAGTCAGTTAAACAAATGGACGTTTCGAATGTTAAAACAACCATAAAATCCAGTGTTACAAGATACTGAAAGAGCATGTTTTCTGTTGCACTACGGCGCCAGCATGGGGCGTATATATATATATATATATATCAATGCAATACAAATGTTATACAACGGTTGATCACAAATGGGAAATAATATTTTATTGTGTTATAATGATAGATACTAATTTGCCTCAAATGTCAATATTAAATTACTCGTCTGCAAGGGCACTTGTTGTTTAACTGTACCGAATATCGACAGTTGAATCAAGGAGGACAGTTAACCGCGTAATTCTTCGCTGGTTACGCACGTTGTGTTACTTTAGTTCTAGGTATATACTTCATTCGTAATTTCCTTTGGTACGGCAATATAGTCATTATTCATGTGCTATGATATTCTAAATATAGCGTTATGAGTTGCAACAAGGACTTTAAACTAATGTCACGGCGACACTTAAGTCGCCTAATAGCAATACCTGCACCGACAAAAGTTTCGTAGCTGCGGCAACTAATTCTTCTCCTTTATTCTACCAGAACGAGGGTTACTTAGGTATAAGGTTTCTTAAATGTTATAAATATAGATAAGGAATACTTAGCCCACTTACCTACCTTAGTAGACAGTCCTAGTAGTGTACGATTTTTCTAAGGTGAGCGTACCATATGTTGCCCGCATGAAGCACCTATGACGGGTACATTTAGGCCGTTCACGAGGAATTCTTTTGGAAACACATGGTGGTGCTTTTCGGCGGGTGTTGCATAAATGGGTGTGGAATTGCAAACCGCCCAGGACATCTGTGAACAGTGCTGCATGAGCTGAACATGCTATTACCAGGATTACCGAAAGATTACCGCAACTTAATGCGAACTTCTAAATCCATAGAAACTGTGGCAGTGTCAGCCGGTACGTACGAGCCTTTGGGTTTGTCGACTGGTTTGAAGAACATTCTATGCGGAAAAAGCATGCCTTCCAGTGGTTGTATTTGTAATCAATTACACATTGATGGAGTTAAGCCTTTTTGATCACCGAAGGTGCATATTTGTCTCATCATGTGCCGCGTTATTTTCACGTGGCCACACACCCCTACGTCTTCGGATTCTACTCTGGTGAATGCAAACAAGGCAGCGTCCATGCTTTCCTTGCTCCAATCATCAAGGAGTTAATGGAGGTGAGGTCTGATGGATTGATCGTGAGAGGATGTCTTCCCCTTCACATTTGATTTAAAAGCTGTTATATGTGACGCGTCTGCAAGTACGTTTGTGAAGCGGTAGTAGCATGACTCAGGATATAGCAGTTGTAACAAGTGGTGCTATCTGGCACGTATGTTGAAGGTAAAGTAACTTTCTCGGAAACCGAATACTGCGTGCGCATTGCTCGGTCACTTCTTTCTAAACGACGGGCAGGCAAATCTCCTGTAGAGTGCCCAACAATTGACATGATAGCAGCATTCCCCACGAACTACATGCAGGCCGTGTGTTTGGGGTGTCATGCGTCGCATGATATCCTCATGAAAACAATCAGATTTTAGACGGACGTGTTTCCTTGAGGGTGCAGCTATGGACACTGTCAATGAGCTTCTGCGAGGAATAGATAGTTTTTGGCCAAGAGACTTTCGCAGGAGTTGCCGGAGTGTAGCGCAGTTACGGTGCTGGAAACCTACTGAGTTGCATAGTTAGCTGATGTATGCCGGGTCTGCTGTGCTGCAGTACATTGTGAAGCTACCTTACTATTAGAAGTTACTAGATTTGCGCCTTGGAAGTCACCTGTTTTGCCATCCCATGCTCCACAAAAGGCATATAAACTTTACCTAGGATGCGTTTACTGTGTTTGCGTAAGTACTACGATTTATACGGTGAAGCGGAGATCATTTTTAATGTGTATTCATTGGTGCACCTGGTCAAGGACCTAAAAATACTTGGTGTGCTGGACGATTTTTCCGCATTCCCATTTTAGTCACATTTTCGTGCTCAACAATCCCTTCACAATGCCGTCAGCCCCACTGCGCAACGGATGCGCAGGTGTTTGGAAATGTCCGCTAA